CCCTCTTGTAAAACTTATCTCGAATTTCGCAATGCGAAAAAGACGAGGGTTTGCGAGAAATTACATATTTCTCGAATCTATTTTGTCGGCGTATTGTTATCATAAATCTCAAGTATTTCAACTGGCAAGAGTATTGTATTCCAAAATATACAAAAATGTTTCGATATAGAGTGTATCATTTTATCGTATCAATGTCAATAGGAAACATATCAATTTTCTTCGCATAATGCATGTGAAAGAGATTGAATATTTCTATTTTTATTTAATAATATTTGAAATCTGAAATTATACTTATTAAAAAAATAATTATTATAATATCTTCCGTTTTCGATTTTTAAGACAAGTAAATTGCTTTTTTATTATTTTTATATTTCCCGTCATAATTAATATTATAAATCACAGATAGAGAAGATATTTAGAAAATTGTTAAATATATGAATAAGAAACTGAACAAAATCTTTAGTAATAATACTGTTTTAAACTAATGATATATTTAATTTAAATCTAAATATTTTTGTAGATAGCATATCAATATTCTGCAATTTTCTAATGTAAAGTATGTTAACGTAGCGTTACACTAACACAGTGACCCGATAGTGTTATCGCGTTGCGATATCGCCTAACAATGTATACCAGAAGCTCATCACTTGATCTATTCTGGCGTGACCGAACCATGTCGCAATTTACTATGATCATTATAGGGCGACATCGTGTCGTACTTCCCACAACAGATATCTAATGAAAGCGTAGCTATTTACAATTCGCAGAATTGATGTAATTAGTGATAACGGAATGTATTATTGTATTCTTGATATATAAATGTGAATAGTTAAATTTTCGATTATAATTAATAATTACTCTTTTAATATCTACCAAGTGATTTATATTTTGATTTTCAAGATTCATAATCAATTATCATAAGCAATTATCAATATAATATTCTGTTATAACAAAAATATATAAAACTCTTTCTCTCTCTGTCTCTCTTTAAAAGTGTAATTATTTAAAATATTAATAAATATAAAAAAAAATTCATTTATAGAAAAAATTTATAGTATTAAATTGCGAATCGATTCATTTAATTCGTTTTTTAATTCCTTTTTTTATTTCTCTATCAATTTTCCAAGGGAAAATAAAAACAAAAAATCTCGATTTTTTTAAATATGTGTATTATTTAAAAATATTTATTAATACTATAAAACGTAGCAAAGTATTAAAAAAATATAAAAACAAGACAGATTAATTTCATTTGATTAATAATTTTGAAAATCGTATCATTTACCGAATGTAAAAATATCTCGTTCTTCTCGGTCCTCTTTTCTAATTTAGATCCGTATTGTTTCGAAATAAGCGCGCCGCGATTTATCGAAATTATCTCGGCATGAAGCCAAGACTTTACTTCAAACGCCGTCGACCTCTCTTATCATCCATGCAAATAATTGCTAATTACTAGCTCGAAGTACCGTTTGCTGAAAAAGGTTGTATTTTATGCTTGAAAAAAAAAAGAAAAAAGAGAGTTATACTTTGTGCGACATTGGTTCAAATGTCAAAAGTTATTTAGTACATGCTAAGAAGCTTTGCAAGTGAAATAACTTCGACGAGATTATAAGATCACAGGATGATATTAAGATAATACAACTTTGTGAAGTTTGTAAATTTTTTATGCGAAAATTGGTTGCAAAAACGTAGTACATTTGTGCAAATTATGGAATGCCTGATAAATAATAACAAATACAGTAAAACGCGATGGTTAAATTGTAACGGATGAGAAAGACGATACGAGTCATTATGATTTGCATCAGAGACTTGATTTAAAATTATACATGTTCTGATAATTAGAATATTTATAATTCATATATAAAATTCGCTGACATTTCAAATAGCACTTTTAATTTATAACATAATATAATATTATAATCTCTTGTTTGTCATAAGAATTGCTGAATGATTACCATACTTTGCTAGTTTAAAATGTTCGCGAGGAAAAATTGGAGGAAAAATTTTTTGAAATTCTATTTGCTGGCAAATTTCGAATTTAATCGCTTTTCTATTAAAGCATCAGACGAGCTACGTCAAAAACTCAATTCAAGTTTCACACGAACGAATACAGTTATTTGAGATTACGTAGAAAACTTTTCGCAATAGATCGGATCTTTACCGTACCACCGTGTTTCGTACCACACATGCTCTCTGCTTAAACTTTTGCATAAAATTTGATATTTATTTAAATTAACCAAATAGGATTAAAGTATAAGAGAGTAATTTCAACACGAGCTTACAAACCTCGTTGAATATAGGAGGACAAATTCTATGCAATTTTAAATTATCGAGGAAGCTTATATACTAATGCATCTAGAATGCGTCAGGATTACTTCTCACGCTGCAATTTAAAACGATTGGATCTTCCCGTGAAATTGACTTTTACAGCGTTTTATTAACGGACAGTCTTTAACGTAGCTTTGCCGCTCGTTTCGCGATCACTGAATGTTAAAGAGACGCACGTGCGACTGAAGTTCGCAGTGCGCTGAGTGCTAAAGTTGTGGTTCGAAAGCACTTCGGTAAATGATGCAATCTACTGCGCCGTTCTCGACACCTGACTCGGAAGGATTCCGCAGATAGGACCCGGGAGAGAAATACGCCATTGAGAATATCTTCGGAGAACGTAAACGCGTAAAATGTCTCCATGTGAAACTTAATTAGAAATTTCGGTTCAGCGATTCTTCGTGTCTCACGACGATCAATTCCGTCATAAAAGAGCAACAAGAGAATGAATATCTCGAGAAGCGCACTACGGCACGGAAAAGAGATGTATCGCGTGTAAAGGAAAATAAAGTAAAAATAAATGGAAATATCACATCTCTCTTTCAGTCGAATTTCATTCAGTTCACCAAAAATACATACGAATGCTATTTTCTCTTGGAAGCGCGAGTATAATATCTTGTATTGAGAATTATTTAATTCCGATGGTACTTTATTTTTGGAATAAATTGTTATATATTAAGAAAAACTTATATAAGAAACTGTGTTATTTTTCTTCAATCGTTGCTTTTATAAAACAACTTGTCGTCTGTCTTTTTACCTAATATATGAGATAATGTTTTTCTTTCCTATTTTATATTAAAAATCTTGATTTATTAAATTAGCTTACAACAATATATATATATTTTTATTGAGTATATACATATATACATAACTTTTTTGTGCTTTAATTCAAGTATATAAACAGTTCTAATAAAACACATTAAATTCTATATCAAAATTTTTACGAAATTAAAGTAATATATTTTTCCAAACACACACACAAACATATATATATATATATATATATATATAATAAAATTTTGGCCATTCCTCCATTGATTGATATTTAACTACGTAAATTTTCAATTGCGTTAATTTCTCACAATTTCTTGCTTTACAATTATCGTGAAAATAACAAAGGTTATTATTTCTTGTAGACTATGTGTGGTATACATATATATGTATACCACGCATACATATATACATATGTGTTGATATGATTTAGGTAGTTTGCGTGGAGTAGCAAACTGTGTTCAACACGGGGGGTGACACGACGTAGAATATTGTGTGAATATAGGTAATAATACGGCGAGCACACAATATAGTGAAAATGAATCGGCAGCACTATAATTATTAATTAACTTTAGTTTGTATATAATATAATTAAAGACTAATAAACATTAATAAACAGGTATCTATTCTTTGCAAATATTATTTTTGATGTATTATATAGGAATAATTCAAATCAATAATAATCACGCGATTAATAAATAATAAATATAATAAATTAGAGAATAATCTTTACATACAAAATTTATTATAAATCTATATTATATTAAAACATTAAAACATGGATTATCGTGGTCTCCAGGCTTCATTAAAAAAAAGAATATTACTATCGTTTATGAGATGCAAAAAATTATTTAATTAATTTTTACTTAAAATTTTCGAGAAAAAAATATTTTTATAAAATTTTTTTCGAAAATATCTAATTCATATCTAATTCTTCCTACTTATACTTCTAAATAATAGCAATTTGAAATAATTGTAAAACATTAAAATATAATATAATTATATTAAAATTATATAATATAATTATATATTAAAGGACTCAATATTTCTCGACCAATATGACCACTTGACATTTATTTAATAAATCTCACAACGTTTCTACCATAATTCCCTTCTAAAGTGCACTGTTAAAATATTAAAAAAGAGAGAAAGAGAAGCCCACTGTTTCACTCAGTTTAATACAAACAAATGACAAAAGTGTCATATGGACACAACGGTGGCCTTCTTTTTCTCTCTTGTTTAATAATATCTTAACAGTATATTTGAGAAGAACCAAAATTATAGTCGAAACGTTGTGAGATTTATTAAATAAATGACAAGTGGTCAGTATTGGTCGAAAAATATTTAGTCCTTTAATTTTTTGACTAGCGAAAGTAAAGGATCCTAATCAATAACAATTACATATATAATTATATGAAATTAGTGGCATTTAGAATTAGCAATGTTAGAGAAAAATACGATTCATTTGTTTCATGTTACTTACGACAACTTACTTATAGAAAAATATGTCAACATATAATAATAATTGAAATAATGTTAACACATACGCACACACACACAATAATAATAATAATAATAGTAATAAATTCTTCTAAATACTGAAATTCTATCGAAATAAAAAAATTATTTCTCCGCGCATATCTGTATTTTGTGTTTCTTCACATCTAATATTTAAACAAAGCGTGAGGACTCCACATTTATTATGATTCTCCCATCCAATTTGTAGAAAGCTCATTCATATTTATTCCTATGCTCGTGCGCATTCCGAAATTGCTAACTGTCCGAGGACACACATTATTTATCGAATTTCCCGAGCATGCTGTATTTTGAAAATTTCTCGCGCAATCCTACAGGTGTTAGGTCATCGTTAAAACGTAAACGTCTCTGAAACGTCTTGCTCTACTTACATGCAAACAGGACACGTCGAGAGTGAAAGTGGCGTGGTATTTAACAGGTGCAAATTGACTTGGTGCGAAGCGCGGGAAAAGCTCGATTCTCCAAATTGAAGGAAAGAAACGACGCGTTGATGTTAACCGGACCGTAAAAATCGGAAAACTCTCGCGACACACTCCGGCCGGGCACTCCAACCACTGAATATGCGTTTCTTGAATGGCTCGAATGGCTGAATAGACGATCTGACACGCTGGCGTGTAGACGAATACAGCAATGCGGACGAGCTAGCTCTGTCCGGTACTCCGATGCCGTGCCGGGTGGTATCCTCGATGGTTTCGGTCGGCGTCTGCGCTCTCGTTCGACCTTCTTCCACCTGCGCATTATCATCACTGGATACACACTAAAGTCTACAGGAGTATAGTCGTGTCAGAGTTATCTCTGTCACGCAGAACGGTTTTTCTTTCTCTCCTTAACTACGGAAGCACCTGATGAAGCACGCGATGAAGCAGGATGATCAAGCCTGATATGAGCGAGTGAATGCTTGAACCAATATCTTCGATGTTTCGCTTACAACGATGCGTCGGGTTTCCACTTTAAGCATCTAGGACCTATAAGGACTGTAATCCGATTTGACAATAATTTACAATTACCAAAAATTAGAACACAAAATTATACATATGTATATTGTAAAAATGATAAAGAAATATTTTTCTCTCTCTCTTTCTCTCGTTTATTTATTACTTTGATTGACGGTTTACTTTGACATTAAATTATTACAGTATATTTTCTTCTGCATTTGATATACAATGAAAGAATTAATATTTATGCTTCTTTTTTTAATCTCTATAAATCTGACAGAACTTTTGTTAGTTTGACTTTAAATTATTACGTTTTGAATATCCCACGGTAAAATCGAAAATCCAATTTAATGCTTAAATATCCGTGAGCTGTCGTGTGATCCTTTACGTCCGAAACTTTTCGAAAACTATTAATACTGCATCTAGGACGAGGTCAATGTTTGCAAACTAAACTTTGATAAGATCGAAGTTCCTTTACTATATTAGATATATTTTGATACCACGTATCGATCTTAGACGAATTCGAAGAGAACGAAGTTTTTCGCGTGAAAATGAATGATTTTTATAATATCCTATTTTACAAAGAGATAATCAAGATATATTATACGTGTCTTTCATAATTAAATTTTTCTCAGTGCCCGCAATTGTGATGCATTATATAAAGTATTTACTAGATGTCGCATTTTTATCCAGCAGAGACAAAGACATTCATATTTTTTTATGATACTAGTGCAAATAAATTACGTGACTAAACATATTTTAGCATAATAGTATGAGCACGATTTTATATTTTATCTTGCATTATATGATCAAGCGCAAGAAAAAACAATGCGCTCTCTGTTGTGTGTCTGACCATATAGCTATTGCTACTACTTAAGATAAGCGAAAACGGTTACAGCGGAAAGATCTTAAGAAAGATTTTTGTTACTCCATGGTTTTATACAGCTTTATACAAGAACCATTTCTTTGGAATAATAATAGTTGCATGTTTTATTCATCTATTGTATAAGTAACTTCTTATTTCTCAATTCGCAGTTTCTTGTAAAAATAAGAAAAATCAAATTATTTGAAAATGTTATACGAAAGAAAATGTACATATTTTTTGTAGCAATGTTGCAGTCTTTATTTCTTTTTATATACTCCGAGAGAAGAAAATCTAACATATTTATTTAATTCTTTGCCTGAAAACAACGCAAAGATTTTAAGCGGAAAACTCTTATATATATGAAAAATTAATCTCGGAGATTATTGACATGCTAACAATGAAGGTTTAAAGTCCTTATTACTTTCGTAATAAATTCCGCGTATATTTTAAACGACATTGAAATGACATCTCATTAACGTGCGATCTTGCAGTAAATTTTAGCGATGAGGGCAAAAAGAAGCAAGTTCTTTTATAGCGATCGAATATCTTAAGATAATGCTATAAACGAGAGAAGAAGAGAGGTAGAGAGAATGAATGACAATGCGCGAATTTATTCATCCGAAATAATTCAACTTATTTCTGGAAAGCGGATGTATTCAGTTTCAAGCACATTATCTCTCAAGAGTGAATAATTTGTTCCGACAGAATTTAATTTAGTTTTCTCAAAGTGTCTGCCGCCTGCTGTCTTTTCGCGAGGGTATGTCACTTTCCGATTCTCTTCTTCTTTCAGAACAAATTAAAGATTATAAGTAAGAGAGTATAACGCGAAGGATGACTTTCCTTTCTTACAACGACGTATGAAACTTCATACTAATCCCGTCGCATTAAGTTTAAAGTACAATGACATCGAGAAGGTCGAGTGCATTAACCGATGTTGAACCGCGAAGGAGGAGATCGATATTAAATTGATTCCTCAAATAACGATATTTAGACCTTATTAATTAAAGTGAATCTAACCGACGCGCACGAGCGTTATCTAATTAAGGACTGCGATGTGCAGGACGTGCAGTAAATGTTGATACAGTCAAGTAGATTGATTCACGTAGCCACGTGCAACGCTGCATTTATAAACATCTATATCAAATCGTGTTACACGTGAAATGTCAGTTTTATATCCGCGATTTTGCAGGTAATTTCCGAGGAAAGAACATATACGCGTAAATGAGAATATTCACATGCAGTAATGTTATTCACATTTCAATAATACGTAACTTTTTTAATATTTTTAAATTATTCATTTAAATCGTGAAATATTGAACTAATCGGCGAATATTCGAGCTTTCTTTATTATTTCATTTATTATACCAAATTTTAGAGTGATAAAAATATCGAAATTTTTATTAAGAGTTATATATAGCACCAAGAAATATCGTCTTCCAATTTGGCGGGATTTTCAATCTTTTTTTAATCGCCAACAAAATAAGAGTAATATTCCGAAGGTATTTGCTCCCCGTGGTATTTGTCAACGGTAAGGCTGTCAATCCACCCACGTGTCGCTCTGGTGTAAAACTCACGAGCTATATCCCCCCGCGTCATTTGATCGTTCGTTCACTAAAGAAATCAATATTTCATTCATGTGAAAGTTTAATTTCCTTTCGAGTTGAGTTATTCGTTTTGCGCAACAAGAATATTTATCTACGATGTCTTTGCCTGCTAGCACAGCTTTATACGTAATAAATTGAACGTGAAATAAACGTAGCTCGATCGAGCACACAGCTCCAAGACGAATCCGGAATTCTTTCGCGAAACAAATCAGGCGAATTGGACATCTTTATATTGTTGCTGTTGCGCACACCCTTCTGTGCTATGTTATTTGTCGAGTTAAATATATAGAGAACAAGCGCGAGTATATATGTATGTACATACATATATATCGAAAAACAAAGTCACTTCTCTCTCTCTCTCTCTCTCCATCAATCGTTTAGCGAATACCCTCTTTACTATTCGCGTAGCCCCGGTTTCGCACTCGTAAATACTTGCCTCGAGACTCTTTATACCGCTTCGACATTATTACGCGACGCAAGCCGTGCGCGGGAGAGTCGAGCTGAAAGCCGTCGTTAAACTTTCACCTCTATATATAAGCGACGGAACTGAGGCGCAACAATTTTAAACGAAAGCAGGAAAACCGGAACAGGTAATCGAAAAACACTTATTGTTAGAGATTTTACAGAGCGACGCGAGCTTTGAAGGAGAAACTAAATTGTCGCGCTGTTGTTCCCTGATGATGGCGCAATGGCAAAAACTGACAAGAGCTTCCGCAGCTTGAGCGATGTAAAATCAATGCCTCGATAAGTTAAGACCGAAAGCGATGTTGATATTTGAAATTCCTGAAATTTATGAAACTTTTTACGCACGAGACTCTGAAACCTTCCTTCCATTGGGGATTAAAAGGGATACATCTCGCTATAAATCTCTGGGAAGGGTAAACTCCCTTATCTTAAGGTATTGGTGCTACATGTATTGGTGTTCGACTCAAAAACCTATCTTAGTTTTTCTCTCTTTCTCTTTTTTTTATATGCTACAGATGCATTTTGCAAATGGGAAATTTCAATAAAAGTGATTTTATCTCTGTTATTATCACAGATAAATAAAGAGAAACTTCAGATAAATAAATATCAATAAATACAGATGATTATAAATAAACATCGGAGATGTTGTTTTCTTTCAATGTGTTTCGATATTCATGAAATTGTAAATAAAATTTTACTTAAACCGTTATCGTATAATTTTATAGTTATTATTTATCACTGAGTGAAGAGTTGTACAGATTTACGTAGAGCCTGTAGATTAAGAAATTCGCTATTCTATAGGCAACATAGATATCTTTTAGCCGGGCTTACTGCTTTAAAACCGAGTTGTTCTAAATTGCTTGCATAATAACACAATGATCCGGATTTTGTTCCGTGAAAGAAAACGCATGACTGCGTTCACTGAGCAAAAGTGTGTGATTATAGTATATTTTAAAATATAAATAATTTATTTTGCGTCACATTTAGAAAATTACGAATTTCAATATTCTTTTTTCATGTTGACAATAAATTTCACTCTTTTCATTAATAAAGCAATTTATTTCATTATTTTAATTTTTCTTTAGAATTATTTTTTTTAATACTTGCAATTATTGCAATGTATATTTAATTATTTCTCTCAGGATAATTAATGTAAAGTTAAATACGCATATGTGTTTTCCAGGAAAATTTTACGTTCGAGATTGGTACACTCTGGTTCTCTATATACAGTTAGTTTGGTAGGATTTATGTGATGTGATTAATGTGTTATGTAGGTGTAATTATTAATTCGTATTACAGTTTTGCTAGCAACTTTATTAGCAACTCAAGCGTATTAGAGCTTCAGTAGTTCTGCTTTAATTCTCAAACATGGCCATATATGCAATCCCTAAATCGCTGAGTTGTCAGCAAATAACATATTCAACACAAATAATTAAGCATGTTTTGACTATCCTACAAATCTCATCATATTCGACATCGTATGATTATGTATCTGTGACTCTTCTCTGTGACAACTATATCACTAATTTTCGGAATAATGTTCGTGTAATCGCCGTAAATACGATTACCAAAAATAAAATATCAGATATATTGTATGTATTTGCTGGTAGACAAAAAAATTTTATATATTTTAACAAAAAAAAATCATTACAGAGATATTTTATATAAAAAAATTAAAAATTTTGTTAAGAGTTAGGCAACGAAAATGGATAACAAGATATTGAATATCGCCAAGTCAAATTAATTATTTATCGATCGCAAAATATAATATAAAGAATTTTAGACTCGAGACTGTC